ATATATATATATATATATATATATATATATATATATATATATATATATTTATAGTAATACTACGATTCATATTGTAGTTGGGATTAAATGTATTCGCATGCAAAAGGATATACATAGCCTTGTAATTGTGGTAGTAGGTCGTTGCAATACATATACGCAGATGCTTTAGTGTATTCGTTTGTGTATTTTATACACATTTATCCTTACAAGCTGTGTGAGAAAAAGCTTTTTAACGTCGTAAAAGCTTTGAATGTTTATGCGTTCGTTTTTTTCTTTTAAAAATAGAACACACGAGTACATGTATATATCTATATATCTATATATATATATATGTAAAACCCCATAACGCATATAAAGAAAGCATTATTCTGTATCCTTTTGACTTATATTCCTAGTTTTTTCAGTTCTATATATATATATAGTGTATATATATACATATATATTGTATAAAATCATTTATAAGTGGTGGTAATGGTGGCTATATTTTGTTTATGTCAATGTGTTAGTGGCACAAGTGGTTTCACAATAGTCTTTTTTTTTTTTTCTTTTCTTTTTTTTTTCTTTTAGTTTGATTATGCTGTTACTTTAATTTTTTAGTATTACTTTTTTGCTTCATTCTTTTTTTTTTTTTTGTTTTCGCCTCGCTCACTTCCTTCTGTTAAATATCTAAAGAGAGTGAAGGGAAAGAGAACGCAGATCCAATATATAGATTTTACAATATTCTTTCAAATATTTGATGGCAATTGTAAAAGCGAGTGTCTGCTAAACTCTCTCTCTCTCTCTCTCTCTCTCTCTCTCTCTCTCTCTCTCTGTCTCTGTCTCCAACTTTCCTCTTGCTCTCTTACTGTCCCCATAACAGTAATTATATAAAATTTCTTTAGTCTTTTCAACGCCTAACCGCTAATACTCTATAAATTGTATGCATTCTTGATCAGTTGGAATTGCAAAATCAATTTTGCCATGGCTATCTGATCGTTAGCGATAAATATGATTACGATTTTTTTATTGGCACTCATATCGATTAGCAAAATCGTTGCTTGAGTGCGCCTAAGCTCGTGCATCTCTTTTGCAAATCATTTGGAGTCGTATTTTTACTTTAAAACTGGATGACCGAGTGGGCAAAGGATCTTGGCCAACCACTGAATGGACGTGGATTCAAATCTTAAATGCGGTAGAGTATTTTTTAGAAGCCGATACCCTTAGATGAGCGTGCTTTAACGCTTTAGTCTCAGAATATATATCTCTGGCTAAATAACTTATAATAATTATAATAATAATATTTTAAAATTTTACCAGTAAAACTATCGAATAAATTATTTTGATCCTTTTTAATTTTTGATCTTGGAAAAAAATTATTATATTGTATGTAAAGTTGGAAAAGTTTTTTGGTGATTTTTACTAAATGATACGAGGAAGACCTTCAAATATTTATAATTTTTTTTTTTTTTCTCTGCTTGGTATAATTTTTACGATATGGATGATATGGGTTCGTTTTTTTTTGTTTTTTTTTTTTTTTTTTTTTTTGTCGAATAATCATAGTTCCAAAAATTGATATAAGAGTGTGAAACGTGCCGCAAACATAACTTGATCGATTAAGTACGAAGGTGAAAAAAATGGATGCGATCATTTTGTTTTTTCCCATAATTTACCCGTAAGGAAACTTTTGCGACCCTATAAATTATAATATATACTCTTGATCAGTGTAAAATTCTGAGTTGATTTAGCAATGTCTGTCCGTCTGCGTGGTGTGTGCAGCTCGAAATTTTTGCACGCAAATTGCTGTTGAAAATGGGATAAATTGGTCGGAGGAGAGGCGTGAAATGGCGCGAAAACTGAACGCAGCTAAGTTTTTCCTAACAAAAATTCTTGGATTTTTGCCCATTAATAGGAAATTGTTGTTGTATTGTGTAGAAGGCTGAAACTTTTCACAGACTTTACGCTCTAGGTCGAAAAATTGAATCAATCGGCCGGAGATTTTATGCTTATTTATCATAAGGCAAACAAGACCGAATGCTGAAAACTACTTTGCCTACTTCTCAAATGAAGATATATTATCTGTCTAAAAATAGGTTAACTTGAAAACGATTACGGTAGACATTGGTATTAATTTTTTCTTATTAATACCAGCGATATGGGTATCAAATAAAATGACTTGGTGAGTAGAATGCGAAAAATATAGTGATGGGTATGCGAAATTCGTCCTCCACCGAATATAACTTTCGTACTTGTTTGTTTTCTATTTATTGCTTTTCATTGAAATTTTTTATACACTTTATATAAAAATCATTCCCGACGAATATATACATACATGTATATATATGTAAGAAAAATTAATTTAAAATTTATAATTTTTTCAATATCACTGTACTCCGTATAAAATGGAGAGCAGGACATTTTGTTCATAGTATGAAGGAATACGATGAAAATGTCCGTACACATGTATGTGTACGCGTTAAGTGCTTACATTTCTTCATCGATTTTATAATTAACACTTTGTATATATAGACGTCTCCCGCTTAACACGCTTAACGAGACAGTGTTACGCAAGACTATTTAATTTTTCGATTTAAACTAAAACACTGTATAGAACGACATAGTTTAAACATAGATATAACATAAATGAAAAAAAAAAATGTACACTGTATTATACCGAAATGTTATTCGCGTTGTATGCAAGCTCAGATACCGTGAAATCAATGCAAATCAATTAATTATTTATAATGAAAATTCGTTCATGAAAATATGTTTTATATGTACATAGAAATTAAAAACTAAGTTAATTTCAAGTTTTTATAAAAAAAAAAAAATATGCAAATGTGTGCAAAAAATGATGAAGACGATGAAACCGTGAAACTTTGCATGTGCCATGTTAAGGGTGGGACATCTATATTTCTAAAGCCTTTTAAAAATGTACATGAAGAATATGCATATGTATATGTATAATATGTGTAATATTTTTGGCGAATGAAATCAAATTGAAATGATCTGATCAGTTGTGTATTACGACTACGGCTTAAAAACTTCATCTTTGTTATTATACCTTACAACAGTTGCGGTACAAGAGTATATTACGTTTGTGCGGATGTATGCAGCACCTAGATGATCTAGACAAAGACCCACATTTTATTATACTGATCGACTCAGAATCAATCAATCTCAATCGAACTGGCCTTGTCCGGCAGTCGGTTCGCCTTGTATTCTTGCGTTCAAGCTATAGGTCGCCATTTTCGAGAAATTTTGATAAAGTTTGGTGCGATGCCGTGTTTTGACGCAGGAATGAACGCTAATTCGGATCGGATAGTTTTTTTAAACGCTCCCCATATAAACTCTTATGTTGAAAAGTCGTTATATGACTAAATGTATTAAGCGGAGTGCTGGTCCGTATCCCTCTTCTGTCTTCTTACTTGTTTACTGATTGGGTTAAAGTTACTAATAATAGCGTAAGCTTTAAAACCGATTAGAAGCAAAGTTCTCTTCTAACGCACAGAAAAAGCGATGCACAACCTTTTTTCTCTGGTGGTATCAACGGAGAAGAATCGGTAATCCT